CCCAAACACCCTCTTTCTACCTTGCTAATGTGATCGTTTAACAGGTTAATGCTTACCCGTTGATTGGTTGTAAAGCTGATGCAATCTTTACTAAAAAATTGGTATCTCGCCTCAAATTCGAGGTTTCTGGGGTGCGTATTCATTAATTGTCTTACGACCATTTGATGTGCTCTTGAATATTAATACTAATGATTTTCCTTGTTTAGATCGTCCAGACATGCACAAAGCATGGCCAACAATCTAACAAGACTTCTGTACGACCCAGCAGTGGTAGACCATTGACATCAACTTCTAAATCTGGCGATAATAATTTGCTGGTAAACAATGTTAAAGAGCGAAGTGTTGAGCTCCAAACTGGACACAGGGAGTTCTTTGATCCTGAAGGACAAGGAAAGCCTGCAAAGTCCTTGCATGAATCGGTTTTACAGAAAGATAAGTCTTCTGATGAAGCTAAACATGAAGGGGATGCCCATGGAAAACCCACCTCGTCCGAAAATGAAGTCACTGGGAGTTGTTCGAGGGGAAGAGACACGGTTGATAAATGTGACAGTAGTTTGGTTGGACCATCTGATTTGTTGAGAGACGACAACCAAGTGAAATGTTCAACGTCCAATGCGATTGTAGGTTCATGTAGAGCTTCTGAATTGTGTTTCTTTCTTCTCTCTCTCTCTCTCTCTCTCTCTCTCTCTCTCTCTCTTTGTGTTTTATGATTGTTAAATGTTACAGGGTACGCAGATTGTAAAAGGCAGTGGTGAAACGTTAGTTGGCAAGCGTATTAAACTATGGTCACCAATTGAAAAATGGTGAGGATAGCTGTACAGTTAGAACCTGAGTGTCAGCTTATTTCACTTACTGCATTAGAATCTGACTTGAACTTTTTTTCAGCTACTATGCGGGTGTTGTAGATGGTTTTGATTCCACCAAAAGTACTCACCAGGTAGTTATGAGTTTATCTTGACAGGATTTCTCTATTTCTTAACTACAAATTCTGGCACCTTCTGAATACTTTAAATTGTGATTTGTATATTGCTATTCTGCTTCTCATATATCTAATTAGGTAAATTCTGTCTTTTCCCAACCAAGCACACACCCCCCCCTCCACCCACCCACCGCACACACACATCAACTCCAGCACTAGGAAAAAAAANAAAAAAAAAAAAACAACGAAAGCAAGATATGAGTTCCAAAAATTGAGAAATTGGAGAGTCTAATAAGATGTATTAAAATGGAACGATATCTCTAATGTTGTACCTTTTTCCCTGGAGACTCGTCTGATGATATGATGTGCTATGAGGTGGATACAGCACTACATGTTTTAGATTATTCTTTCTTTACTTAGTTTCTTCCATCTAATCCTGAAACTGTTCTAGATTACTTACAAGAGTGGGGAGTCTGACATTCTAAGCTTGGACAGTGAGACTTGGGAAATCGTAAGTAATTAAATCCTAATTTGAAGTGAAATCAGATGATTCTAAATTCTTTGATCTATGTGCTGAATATTCTGTTGCCTTATGACTTACATCCTTTCAGTAATCATTGACCCACATTGCCCCTTCAAATGCATGGGCCTCTTATGTATGCAATTGAGTGTTCTTTAGTGTGTTGCCCTTTTTATTGAAACTTAATGCTAACATTGGTTTAATTCTACAGGATATGGATGAACTCCAAGCACAATATTGGTAAGGACACAAAACTCTTGGAAGCTTCTTGTGTGATAATGCGCTTTCTTGTTCTTCTAGTTGATTTAGCTCATGATATGTGATTTTTCCATTATCACAGTTAATCTTAAAATTTCCATTTCCCTGAAATGAGTATTGTCCCCAGAAAGTTAATAAAATTTTAAATTTTGTTATATACATTGAAGTTCATTTTTTAGATCATCTGAAAATGAATAAACTTTTACCAGCTGATATTGTTGTCCTTTGAATCCCAACATCATTAAATTTCACAGTAATAATGAGGTAAACTGTTTTGACTTCTCCCATGTGCATTAAGAAAAAAGCTTCTCTAGGGAATTTTGATCTTGGAAGTTACATGGTTACTGATGAATAGAAAAAATAAAGAATACAGTATATGTCTATAACTTATTGTTGCCCATCTTTTTCTTAGCGACTTGTTTAGAGATCAATTAATTATCAGAATCCCATTCTAGAAGTGATGCAGAGTACCATTTTCTTTGAATCAAATTGTATCCATTCCATTTATCTCCGTCTTGAATGAAACTGTCCGATTCCTGTTATATGTCCTGTTTTGATGTAATAATATACGTAATGTTGACTTTTGCTGTATCACAGTGGCGATGCTAATGCTAATTCTGAAGCTGAACCTTTGGAATCAAAACAAGAGAAGAACTTGCCAAAGAAAAGACAAAACTACATAAAAAAGATTTCTCAGCCGGGTACAATCGTGTTGTTTAACTCTATTTTCATTCTGTTTTATGCCTCATTTTTTGTTTATGTAGCCGGGTAAAACTACATAAAAAAAGATTTGTTATCTGATTTTGATAACTTCAGAATTCTGCTCTTTGCTTGCAGTTAAAAGAGCTAAGAGGAATGAAGAGGCTCTTGGCACGTCGAAATCCAAAGGCATGGATATGAATGGGAACAATGTAAGTTAAGCTGCATTACTCCAATTAATATTTGGACGACCTAAAATTTTGTAATTGTTTTCACTTGACCTGCATTGCTCTCAACTCTTAAGGCTACAAGTATGGCTTTTGGTTTTCATGCTCTATCCTCATACGGTAAGTCATTTGTTAGACCGGGCTAACCATCAGGCCTGCATACACTTTTCACAAATTAACAAACTTTCATACTGTCATATCTGAAAAAAAACATTATAAACAGAATTATGACAAATTATAACATTTGATAGTAGAAATATGTGTTTTTTTTTTTCATAGAATATGGAGGGTCGATCCGTCTAACGGTTAAACTACCTCTTACAAAAATCTCTGATCCTAATAATGTGCTCTAATTTCTTTTATTATATGTTTTCAAAATTGTTTAATATTTAGTTCGAAACTAGTGATGAAGTGTAGTGCTTATTTATTACTTGTTTGTTTTGCAGGGACTAAGAAGAAGCCAAAGACATAACAAAGTTTGACGTGTATTGCTTATTTATTATAACAATTTAAAAACCTCTGCTTCATATGTACAAATTACAAAAACTACCCCGGGTTTTGGGAGTAATTTCCAAATAATAGTATATGATTGAAAATTATATATGAATAATAATTATTAACATAATTTTAGCTGAGTGCAGAAATCATGACAGCACCCCTTTTGTGCTTTCCTTTTGAGTTTTACTTGTCACAGCCTAAGTTCTCATAGTCTGAGTTTTTTTTTAGTATTTGAGCCGTGTTTGGTTCAGTTGAAGTTTGTTCTGTCTTGGTGTAATAGAGTAATGCTCCTCTACCCACGGTGGGCACATGTTAATATGTCTACCGTTTATGTGGCATGCACGTATTGGTGATGTATTGCCATATTGAAATAAAATCCTCAAGTATGATAAAATTTCTAAGGCAACTTGAAATAAATAAAAGTATTGCCATATTGATCATTTGAGTTCAATTCTTGATTCATATGTTTGTAATGAATTTATTTTTTTTTTTTAAATCAAAATCAGAATTGTGATATTTAACTATTATTTGTATTAAGTTTTTTTTTTTTTTTTTTTTTTCAAAACGGTAGATTATATATAATAAGATTGATCATTCATCTTGTCTCCATGAAAATATTATAATTACTATGAAGAAACTCATTTTTGAAGTTATATATTTATTTATTTACGAAAAGTTAAAGGAATAATAGAAAAGCGAATTTTTACAATAATAAATATAGGATATAGGTGAGATCCACTTTACAGCAGGGGAGTTGACTTGAGTCAATCTTATCTCTTATTCACTCACATTTTTTATTGATTTTATTATTTATTATTATTTACCTACTGTAAAAAGTGCTAAAAATAATGTCGGCCAAGGCAAGAATTTATTTATTTTGGCGTAGGAAAAATCCAAAGAACACTCCAAAAGCAGAATAATCCAAAGGATATATAAATTAAAACTCCGTCCACAGCGAATACCGGAATTTTTCAATTAAATAATTTACTATTAACTACACTGTTAAATTATTTACCATTAATTACACAGGTGGAGATCAAGATGCGAAACTCAATTATTTTTAATTATTCCTTTTAATGATAAATGACCAATATTTAGGAACTGTAATTTAAATGATACTATGTTATTGCATCCCGTTCTAATACTTTTATTATTTTTAAAAAATTTTATTTTATTTCTCATTTCATTCCATTGGTTAGAAAGTACGATTGTCATCTATCGTTCTCTATTATTTATTTTTCTCCTCCTTAAAACACACACCCTTCAAATTTTTACACATAGCCATTATCATTGTTACATATAATATATGCACAAGATACAAAAACCCTACAATGATAATGGTCGAGTCAAATTGGGTTGATCCGACTGGTTCAATCAAATTTTGACCAGATTTGTCCAAGTCTCTTGCTACCCGATCCAAACAACCCACTCGGACCGATCTTAGTTTCGGGTCGACCAGGCCAACCTGGGTCTCAAAACACTGATACAGACACAAATATATATTATATATAAACCCTACAATGACAAGTCCAATTGTCAAAAGACCTACACTTTAGCCTTTGACTCACTTAAGCCATATGTACTCACACACCACACAACACCTATATAAGCTTCCATTTAGTCTTTTTTTTTTACTCAAA